AAGAATAAAGATATTTGCCAGAGGAGCCGAAAAAAACTTTTACCCCTAATCTGCCCATTTCCGCTCAGTTGGTTCTTCGAACACGTGAACTTGGCTCGTCTCCACGCCACCCCATGGAATCTTTTTCATTGTCTTCCGCCGGAAGATCGGAAAAGTGCGAAAGCGATCGCGTTTTTTCTCCGCCGCAAACGATTTTCACGGTTATCTTGGCAGAGCCGATGTCTCCGGGCTATCACGAAGTCAAGCGTAAACAGACGAAATGTTTAAAGATGGAGTGTTCTTTTACTCTTGCCCCTCGTTATTTTTTTCTTCTTCCTTTTCTTTTTTCGACCGTTTCGCCGACCCCTCGACGCGTTCTTCGCATAAGCAGAAGCACGAAAAAGAGAGACCTTAAAGGGCCAAGCGTGCCAAGAGTTCGCTCCAAGAATAGAGATACGTGGTGAAGAGGGAACAGAGGAAATTACTCCTGGAAAATCGTCGACTTTATTTCGTCCGCAGCGAGAATTTTAACCCTACTCGGCTTTAAACGGAAATCATCCAGCGTCACGTGGTCGGAAGTTGCTTAACCAAATTATCTATTACACCGGAGTTCCATTTAGAGTTACCTTCGGATACATCGCGATCGTAAATTAAAGCCAGAAGCTCAGATACCTTCATCCCTTGTGTCAATTTCGCACAGTTTGCTCGTAAATATAACTCCGTAATTTTTACCTTTTAACAAACTTGTACTCCATTCTTGAACTTCCAAATTATTCGAAAAGTTTGTGATCAACATTTACCTCCATTTCAATTACTTCTAATGTATTCACCGCCGAAAGCGAGTTGCCTCGTCATAAAATCCTCTAGAAATCGCATGAACACACCCCGAATGAAATATCACCGCGAGAATAGAAACGTTGAACACAGAAATCGTCGAACGAGAAATTTGCTGAAAATTTATGCGGTAACGCGTTCGCGTTCAAGTTTCAACGTAAATCGGAGTTTGTTTCACGAGACGAGAAGTTCGCCAGGGAGCTGTTTACCCATGAAAGCTTCGCTCAAATATTTGTTTACCCTTAGCCGGGTGAACTTGCATCTACGCCTAAGATCGATCCGATGATGTAAAATCGAAAGCAAAAACCAGCTGATCTAGTTTAATGTCTCGCTCATTTGACAATTTCTGTGTCTCTTCAAAACAAGACGTCAACCCTTAAGACAACTTCACCCGATCAAAATTGAATTCTACGCTATTAATTCTGACGTACAAATATTATTTGCGACCTACGATTCAGATAGACTAACGGTAAACCGAAATGAAATTTGTAACAAGATAAAAATCGGATGCACGTTTTTCTTTCATGGAAACAGAGGGAAATAAGTGGAGCAAACTAAACGAAAAACAAACTTCAATCTTCGACGTCGGAAATCAGACTTCGTTCTCAGTCATCCGGCAGATGCGGGCGAGAAGAAGAGGACGGGGATACGAAACGAAAGATCTCACGGTGTCCGAAACCGCAAATCGGAACGAGCGTGGCCATGCATATGTAGATATGACGCCTCTGCAATGCAGATTTAACCGAGCCGAGGAAGAAAGCGAGTTCCGATTTCAGCAGCCGCGAATTGTCGACAAGTCTGTCTCTAATTTGCAAAAACTTCCATTTTGATCTTTGACCGCGTTAAATTTCCTTTCTGTGCAGCCGTTTGCGGAATTTCTAACCGGCATCTCGTACAGTTATGCACCATGTGCGTTCTCCTATGTACACACCTGCGCTATACCATCAATCGAATTGAAACTACGATACACTTTATTCGTCTGAAAACAAGATGAGTAATTAAAATAAAATTGAAACTCGGAGACCACAGTTGCCGAAAGAATATTCCAATAAACCAATACGCATCTGTCGTATGTCAACTTTATGAACTACGAGTTAAAAGAATGTGATTAATTCCCGTCCGTTAATTAATGAGTTTCTGTTACGAGTGTCCGCAAACATGACACGAAGAATCTGCCGCGTAATCCATGACCATTAGTTCCGTAGCACCCGGTAGACGCAAAGCAACAATCGCCATTAATCAGATTCGTGAAAAGGCCGGAAGATTCCGAACCGCGACCATGTTTCCCCTATCCGTCTCTCTTTCCCTGTGTGTGTACTTGCCACTGTATTCGGCCAGCTGTCTGTGTCTCTCGACGAACGCAGGGGATAGTGGTAATGAACTGAGGGTAGCCAAGCTGGCTACTAGCCAACCCAAACTTCTGCTACGATCTCGAACTACTCACTGGCCACCCTCGGATCCTCCGTGTTAAAAGAAATTACGGATCGGCTGTTTTTGCGCAACCGCTGGCGTTCAACTTTGCCAGGCGACTTTCGAGTTCCCTGTCGCGCGTCAACTCGTCAAAAAGACGTACGTTTCTGTCAACTCTGACATGTTTCCGGAGGAGAGAATAGCATGGAAATTTTTGAGAAATCGATTGTGTCGACTCTGCTTTAATACGTTTCTAAATGAAACAGAAAGAGTAACAGCCGTGTAGTTGATTTTAAACTCCCACGAAAATCGGTGAATAAAATATTTAATTAAACTGTTAAATAATTTATTATATTCTGCATTTGTCAGCGATTCTATTTCAAATTTAGAAGGAAGATTGCCGGGAAATACGCCGAAGGGAAACGAGACTTTTGTGTCGAGACGCTCGATGGTCTCTTCAACTTTGAAGAATAATTGCACGGGTACATAAATTGAAGGTAACGGAGACGGAGAGGAAGAACAAACGGTAGGTTGTTCGACAGAAGAGAATGTATTCGCGATTTAATGGGTGCTCGATAGAATTGATTGGTTCAGCGAATCGTAGACGAAGGATAGATAATCGTTGGTCGCGATTGGACGATTGAAGAGTATCGGAAAGTAACAGCGATCTTTGTCTCCTTGTCATTAGCATTCAGGATAATATCGAAGCATTCGAGAACGTCTCGATTTTAACGTCTGCTAATAAAATTGCCGCTGGTCGATTAAAAATAACCCATCTAATTACACCGACGTGAATTCGGTGCGAATCGTGCTTGTAAATTAGCACGGTTTAATGCATCATAAAAGTGTTGGCAATTCAGCCGTTCCACTCTCGTTTTCGAGCTCTATGAAAATAGAAGCTGTACAATGTAAGGCCTATTTGCGTTAGCGGCTAAATCGAGAGCCGAAGAATCGTGAAGGATGTCTTCTGTTCAAAAAGGTCGATGATTCGATCCGTTGTCGATGATCCGTGCTATCGATGCGATTCTCCGCATCGAAAAGTTTGTTCGATTTTCTTAAACGATCTCGAACTGATTTATAGCCATTTAAGACAGGAAAAACGTAATTTCTAGGTTAGCTGTTAACTTGATTCTTCTGCCTCTCATTTACTACTCTAATCTTATAAATTTCGAGTTCTTCCAATAACCCGTGTTTTCCTCGAAAACCGAGAGCCAAGTTTTTCACGAATTTCTCGAGTCGAGAAGTTCGATCAATTTATTTGAAGTCGTGTGACAGTTCGATAATACACTGGCCCAGTGGCATACTTACTGCTTGAACCTAACCACCTGAAGTTTTTCCAGACCAACGAAATTTCATTAATTTCCACGCGTCGAGATTTTCAGTGGAACGTCTGTTTAATGACAGCACCTGATGTTATGTAACGTGATCGAATTGGGGTATATCATTGCGTATGTAGCGCGTGGTCATCTTGTTGGATAACATCGGTCACCAGGAATGTGACCGATCGATTAGAACGAGGAGAATTTATGGACAGGAATACGACAAGGGAATCAGTATTTGAGGATGAAATGACGGGTATTAAGGTTTATCAAACGCGCGAAATCTCTTGCGAGTCTCTGATCGACGCACTTCAAATTAATAATTAAGAGATCAATTACACGTAGTTATCCATCTAAAACGTTTCTACCAAAGTGAACTCGTTAGAGAAAAATAGTGTAGGCATTTATTGGTTCTTTATTAATTAATGTTTATAATTATCCCTTGAAGTGTGAACGGAGCGAATGAGGGTTGCAAGTGGTGATGAGTATTCGTTGAAAAACGCACGAATGCCGTGAATGTTCATTTAATTTATAACCAGTTGTTGTCCTCGAACTGTTAAAGACGTGTAATTTCCTTGAAAGATTAATTAAATATTCAAAAATGTTTTAATTAGTTTAAAGTACTACAATAGAATAAGAATAATCATTAGCAAAATTTTCGACGTAAAACGCTGGTGATCGAAAGTGGCCTTGGATCCGGACAAACTCGGCTCCAAAGACAACATCTAACAACATCGATACCCGCTGTACCAGAATAAAGTAAACAGCCCGTGGCACGAATAGTGACACGGCTATTTGTGGATGCGCGAAACGTGGAGCGTGTACGAAACGGCCGAAAAACCTAGACCCAGTGTCGATCGATTTTTTCGCCGTTTTACGAGTGCCGGAAATGTAACGAAATTCTGCTTCCGTCTGACGGGGGGAAAAGTAAAGAGCGTACGTATCTTGATTCTCGTTGCGAGACGTGAATTAATGATAATCGGATTCGCCCACGAGCGTCGTTGCTCATCGACGATCCGATGAGTTACAGCTGGATCGAAGTGGAATTAAGGTCGAATCAAATTTCGTTCGAATTTGGTCGCACGCGATAACACGCGTCACCGATACCAGATTAACGATACGATGATATATGGTTTATCGAACGATGCTCCTCCAATTTTCACCAGATTCGGTGTTGAATATTTTTTTCGAAGTGGGTTATTTCCGATAGTTATCTGCGAGGCTAATGTCGCTTTAAAAATTCGCTCGACGTTAACGCACAGTCGTGGCATTTATCCGAGGCGTAACTCTAACGGAGTTCGATACGTCGAATAAAATGGAAACCGAAACGCGAAGATAACAAATGTCGGATTTATGAACGCGATATCAAATGCAATGAATTAAACTGAATCGTGGATGCGTGAACGTGACAAGTTCTGCGAGATTAGCTTTCGGGAAAAGAATGTACGTGTGACTTACCCTCTGTGCTTTCCGCTTATCCGCCCGCTGATTCTGATGATATATTCGACTGAAATTACTGACGATAACAGGCACCGGTAAAGCGATCACTAGGACACCGCTGAGAGAGCAAACTCCCCCCACGATTTTTCCCGCGATCGTTTTCGGAACCATGTCACCGTACCTGTAACAGAAAAGCAATAACGATTAGTCAGCCAATTGCCGATAAATTTTCTCGATCAATACATCAAGTACCAAACGTAGAACCTCTAGGAACACGTCTCGTTAAATAAGCGCTTTAATCTCTCTAGTAGTAGTTATAATAAAAACTAGTATAATGTGAATTGCTATGATTTGTTGAATATTTTCGTGTATCTTCGCGAATATCCAAAGTTTTCATCATCGATGAATAACAGACTTTTCATCGTCGATGTACTAACAGAGCATCAAACAAACTTCCATCGTAAAATTACGTGATCAATAGGTCTACGACGTTGATTTTAGAAAGGACATTTCCCTCTTCATCTTCCGGGGGCATTTAATTGAAAAATCCTGCACGAACCGCGCCACGCTGTTTGCATACTTTCACGGTTGTTTTACGGTCTCGAGACCCGCGATGAATCGCGACCACCGCGATTTATACGATAATTTGCATCGTAAATTTTCGCGTCGGTGAAATAAAAAAAGGGAAACTACGAGCGGAATTTCACGAGAACGTACCAAGTTATAAGCGGAAGTGCGACACCCTTAGTTACAGCGTTGTTGCGCTCTCTCGTAGATCTTATTAAGAGAATTAAAAACGAAACACGCAACGCGAAGAAGAAAAAAATTTCGAATATTCTTGCCAGGACTCTTGTTATTATTCGTCCCGTTCTTCTGCTCTTATATTCGCCTTCGTGCAGATTTAAATACGACGCGCAAAAATCTGAAATCTGCTTTAAACGCTTGGAGGTACATGCGGTATTCTCTGCGCGTAGCAATCTAATGTGCGGCAATTTTCGTGGTTATGTAATTCGTGATTTCCAGCTGGTGATATAACGCGTTGGGAATTAATGCATACGGATACAACGCGTAGTTCTTGAATGCGAGAATGTAACGAGTAATCTCCGTGCGTAGAAATCTCTTTACGCGGCAATATAACGCGTGGGAACCTAATGCATAGAGATACAACGCGTGGTAATTCTTGAATGTGAGATTCTATCGAGTTAATCTTCAAGCGTAGAAATATAACGCGTGGTAATCTCGTCATGTGGCGATATAACGCGTGGAAATGTAACGCGTGGCAATATAACGCGTGGGAACCTAACGCATAGAAGTACAACGCGTGGTACTTCTTGAGTGCGAGAATCTAACGAGTTAATCTCCATGCGTGGAAATGTAACGCGTGGTAATCTCCTCATGCGGCAATATAACGCGTGGGAACCTAAAACATAGAAGTACAATGCGTGGTAATTCTTGAGTGCGAGAATCTAACGAGTTAATCTCCGTGCGTAGAAATGTAACGCGTGATAATCTCCTCATGTGGCAATATAACGCGTGGAAATGTAACACGTGGCTATATAACGCGTGGATACCTAACACAGAAATATAACGCGTCTGAATGCCAGAATCTAACGAGTCCTCCGAGTGATTATCCTGTAGCGATAATCAGGCGGCAATATAGCGCGTGGTAATGTAACGAGGGACGACCTATATAAATCACGTGGCGTGATTCAAATAAATCTGATATTTGATCGCAGAATGATAGATGATACACGCTATAGCGAGCAGAAAATGAACGACGCAGTTTATCTCTATTAAGTAAATGGAAGATAAATGGGGAACTCTGATCGTTGTCATCGAGGGTGCGATAATTTTCAGAAGTTACGAGTACCGTGGAAAAAAATAATGGAGAACAGTCACGCGTTTTTTCGAGCATTGTCGAGCCGAATAATTCGCCGTCATCAATCTGAACGAGGCCATTTTCTATGGAAGATATATACGATCGAATCACTTGCTGTCACCTGTCCATGTTCCCAGCCGGCAAACATAGCTCATTCATATTTCTGAAACAGGTGTGCAATGTATGTCGCAAAGAAAGCCTGACGATAGATTCATCAATGCACTATATTTTCTCTACCTATTCGATAATTACTACATTACCAGAAAAAGAATGATAATTACTGTGTCCATTAAGTTTATTCTTTCTGTCGAAGCTTGCAAAATTTTTACCCAAGAATGTTACCTTGCAATTAACAATTTCTTCCTTATCTCGAAACTTATGAATTCCGATTCCATGTAAAATCGACTAAATTTACACCTAATGCAAGTTATCATTTTCTTCTCACCGCGTTCTCGACGTTTCCCTACTTTCGATCATTCGTTAAAAAATAAAAATAAAAGACAGACAAAGAACGATAGAGGTTCATCGATGCGCACGAGTCCGAATCAGCCATTGAGATACAAAAAAAAATGGAAGATACGCGAAATAAAAGGCGAGGGATATAAAATATCGAAACAACGAGAGTTGAAAGGAGGGTGGAGAAGCGCGGGTAAGCATGGATTCCCGTGGTCGTAACGTGTTTGTGTCGGCACGCATTAGTGGCCGGCGGTTTCCACGTAATTACAGCCGGTGCATCGTGCAGGCCGCATATGTAGGCCGTTGCATTATTAAAAAGAGAAACGTGCTCGCTAATTGGCGGACGACGGAGGCGCCGCTCGTTACCGGCGTTTTACGAACCAACCAAACGAATCAAGGAATTCAAAACCGTGGACCATTGCACGCTGCTTAACCCGGTCGTCCAAAAGAAGATAAAAATCATCGAAAAAAATGAGGAAATCCTAAAGACGAACTGCAACTGCTCTGGCACATTCGTTATTTTTTCAAAGGGAAGAAGGTCGAGTCGGCTACACTCCTCTTTAAATGTTTAAAGTTTCATGAGCCACAGTGTTTTGAATAAGAAGAAAAAAACGGTTGCGTTTGATCGATTGCGCGACACTCTGCTAACTGGGGGTGCAAAATACACGTTTCACAACCGAGTTTCTCCGCGAATCACGCGAACTTCGGGCGTTTCACACAGAAATTACGATATGAAATTTCGCTAGCCGAACGCGGATTTTTAATCAAGCAAATTTTCACGCATTAGTTAGATATAGAGATCGCTATGCGTTAGATATATTTCTACGCGTGGAGATTGTCAAATTTTAGATCCTCAATGTGGTAATTCTCAAACTGTAAACCTTCACGCGTGGAGATTGTCAAATTTTAGATTTCCACGCGTTCGGTGACCTAATGCGTAATTTCCACGCGTGAGGATCGTCACACGTGGAAATCTAACATAGAACACCTACTCATGACGATAGTCCATCCAGCGCGTAGCAATTTACACGCGCAGAATTCTAACGCACGCAACATCTACGGATAGAAATCTAACGAGTGGCGATACACCGTCTGGAAATTTAACGCTCAGAAATCTAATATCTGAAATTACAGCCTGTACGGAAATGTAACACGCGATCTCCACGCGCATAAAATATAATGACCACGAACATATGTGTAAAATGTTTGACGAACGTTTTCCCACATAGTGTTCGCGCTGTTTAGTATTTCATAAAGGAATAGCGCAATTTTGTAAGCATATTTTGCGCGATTATAACGTGTCTCAGTCAGAAGTACAATACAATGAGAGAAATGTTAAGCGAGATTAGGAAAATCCAGGCGATCCGGGTCAACGTGTTCCAACGATGTATGCTCGAATTAGCTGACGGCACGCTGGAATCCAGATCCCGTGGGATGGAACGAAACGATGATGACGACGTACGCGTCCCGGAAGGACCCACGAAACTGTCACATAATTCGATAAAGCAGGCCGGACAGAAGCTGCTGGCGATCGAGGATTGGCCCGTTCGCGATGTTCCATTATGCTTTAGCGAACGCTTTGTGGAAAAATATATACGAATCAATCAAACTCAACGGTTATCACTGATAGCTGAGATAAACAATTAATATAAAATATACACGTTCCTCTAACCCTCTTATTAATATGATGTTAACTCGTGAAAGCTCGTCAAAATCTGAGCACGTCACTTAGGAAGCTTAACTCGTAACTCTATCGCGCGAGTGCTTGTGAAAACAAATAAAGGTTGCCGGCGTTTTTTTAACGCCGAGCAAAAATGTTTTACGTAGGAGGAGAACCGTCGAAGATTTGACGCGTAATGAAATAGATTAGTGGCGATTCGGTTAGGGGGATGACGTTCTAATTCTGCGGATGTAACTTGTACAAACCCATTAAATGTCTGTTTGTACAGCTAATATTAGCTATGTTCGCGCAGCTGCGGCATTGTTAAAAAGAGCAGCACGTGTTTACCAAAGCAATCACCGCTTTTCTTCGACGCTGTTTTCAGCCAATGAGAAAATAATTGTACATCGTTCGCCCGCAGGGTTTTTATCGACGTACAAAAACTGGCAATCAGCGTGTTCGACGAAATCGACGGCAGGCAGGGTGCAAAAAAAATATCGAAAGCTCTTCTAACCGTATCGATTGTTAATTAAACTCCACTCGATTTTCCTCCCGGTTCTTTCTTTTTGCCTTCTTTTTTTCGCGAAGATCAAACTCTCCATAGGAGAATGCCATTTCATTTTTACCCAAATCTATTTTTATATCCCTCTGTCGTGGAGGTCATTGTTTCATCACATTCTCGTGTTTCTTGCAGATCCACGCAACTACGCGTGGGAATATAATCAGAAATTTTTAAGAGCAAGAAAATATGTGTTTATTTACAGACGATTAATAATAATTTTGCAGAAGATTAAAAGAGGTTGAATAAATTAGGCGAGGATTAACGATGAGATTCCAAAGTTTTTTCTATTCCCTCGAATTAATGAAAATTTCAGGAATCCAAGGGGATAATTACTTCGTAAATCGTGTCGCACTCGTTCTCGAACAAGACGCGAGCAAAAAGTTTGCCGCCCCTACGATCCCGACCTGATTTCTTTATCCGTTCCCTCGTTTCCTTCGCCGAGGCCTGGGAAAACGAGTGTTCAAGGAGGGAAAACTACTTTTCCACGCCGACGAATCCGATCGTTTCTTCCCTCGTAAGCAACCACCGTCAGCCGGAAGAAGCTTTCGTTCCTTCTTTTTTCGTTTCTTCTTTTCTTTTTGTTCAAAAGCGGCAACCTTTCCGCTCGAGAAGCATCGCAGGCGT